ATCTATTTTGTTGACATTAATATCGCCTATAGTTTACTTTGTAAAATCTAATATTTTTATTGGTTTTTTTTTTTCATATTAATGTATAAATGTCAGGTTTTGTGCTATCTCTTTCTTTGTTCTCTCTTATAATAAAATGAATACAATAAAGTAAACTTTGGTACGGTACATCAATGAAACTTAATGAAGCTAAGTTGTTTACAGGTAAAATTTCAGGTCAGAACTCACTCCACTCGTCACCTACGAAATAAACGCGGAGTACGCAAAATTAAGTATTAGGGAGTTTTCGATTTGTGCGACGTCGCGACGCTAGAACGGAATCACTCGTGCGTGACCGTCCTACCTGGCGTCCTACGTTCTCTGCATACGTAGATTTGGCCAAATTGCGTTCCAGAATCTACTCGATGAGGTGACCTTAACGTTCTCGCATGCGCAGATGACTTTTACTGACGTCATTACGTTGCTATACGTCGTCGTGCAATCGAAAGCTCCCTATTAAACGACACAACATCCATTGTCAATTGTGCGTGCAGAAGGGTCGGGCTCTGGTAACAGAGAGGTATTTGAGAAAGACTAAATATTAGAGATCAAGCATTCTTGTTTTACAACAATTTATTTAAGAATATGAGTCATAAATATTTTTGTATGTATGTCACAGATTATGAATTAAATTTAAATGTAAGGTACGGGTTTTACCCGTCTACTTATGTTATACTATATGTTAAATTTTCATTGACTTCCTTGTTTATTACGCTATATACTGCATATGGAATTCCAATATAAATTAATGGTTAATTCATGTGGAACTATGTTTATTTATAAAAGTTATGTACGTAATGATTTCCGTAGACGCTTTAGTAGATTTTAGTGTAGCCCTGTGTTGCTACGCAGTAATAAGTAGTTCATAATCATAATTTATACTTTTTATTATATAATATTATTTAGCAATGGTTTATACAAGTGTTTGTATTTGTATTATATTTGACCTAATTATATATATGAGAGTTACTACTATTTCAATAAGAATACAATCATGTTAATCGTATCTTAGCGCAGAGTGTGATTTATTGGTTCTCTCTTTTATAACAGAGGAACACTCTCGCGCAGGAGAGGTTCGACCCGTACAGCAGTTACAAAACAACAACTGACAATATATAAAAATGAATTATTGAAAAAATAAATGAGTAAAAAAAAATACTGGACAAACAAAACAAATGTTACTCTCATTATTCTGTAGTAATTAAGGAATAACTTAATGTCAAAAAAAAAAAAAGATAGAGAATTCAATTACAGAATATAAAGTAAATAAATGACAAAAAATATAAGTTTATAAGTACAGTAAATAACATAAAAATTAAATATTGGTGGTAATGTTTTTCATTAGTTCAGTTCTTTCAGTCATTGCTTTTGTTAAATATGTTTTACAATGGTTATCAAATATGTTACAAATTCCAATATTCTGGTATGCATCAAAAATATTATCTAAAAGTAAGTGGTGCCTAAATTCACACGAACCTTCTAAGAAAATGTCCCAAAAGTACCTATTAATTTTACACAAGTCAGTTTTCAAATTTTCAAAACATGCATTTTTTTTATAGAGGATAGACCTCCACAAACAAATAGAAAATGGTCGACCGTTTCTAATTCTCTTTTTTTGCAAATAATACAATGGCCCGAGTGCGTATCTGACCATGCCCGTTTTCTGCCTTCAAGATCTAGAACATTAGTTCTTTAAATGTGCTAATTAAGACACAACAAAGTTAGAAGTCAATAAGTCAAACATTGCTTAAACTTTTGAGAATCTAAGATTGTCAAATCAGAGTACTGTATTGTCAGTATTGGCAAGGTAGGCCTATGTTGTATTTATTTAACGCATTTATATGTATTATGTTAGCACTATATTGCTAATGATTTATATTGTTTTTATTCCATGATTTTAAGTTAGCCTGGATACTAAAAACACAAGATAGAGTTCTCCACAGAAAAAAAATATTTGTTCCACCGAAATGGATGGTGGGAATACAAACAATGGGGCGCCGCGTACGGCTGGATCTAAAAAACTTCTGCCACCGTTACATAATTGTGAATACATAACCTCCTTTTGCGGAGGTTGAAATCGTTGCCATTATCCGTAAGATACAAACAGGTAGGTATAAATAAATCAAAATAATAAAATGACAGACACAAAAGCGCAGATTCTTATGACTCTGATAAGTGATAATGTTTTCCTCCATTAGTGGAAAAAGAAGGGCGCCGTGTGCATACCAGTACCGTACCTAGCCAGAGCCATAGATAGAAAGAGTTGCGACATTGAGAATTTAGAAGCCATTTTGTGTCATACGCGATGCGCGTTCTGTGTCTAACGTGATGTGCGTTCCTGTGTATAATATTGTATAATAAAGTTAGCGGCCTCCTGTATTATAGTTTAATTCCATTTAATCTTTTTAGCAGTCGAATTCCATGTAACTCTATTTATAGATTTTTTAAAATGATTTCACTACTTTATATCCAATTTCATATTATAAATACTGTAATAATTAACTATTTTTGAGCAGTTCCTTAATCCTCGCCGATAGACCGAGAGAGCCCTTCGACGGCAAGCATTCTTCAATTAGGCAATCCTGCCATGTAGACCCTTAAGTAGCTCCTGTTATTTTTGCAAATAAATGATACGTAAGACCAGCAAAAATTAATTAAATATGTATATCAAAATGTAATTTAAATCCGTCTAGCGTATATAGATTGTTGCTCTTTAAATTTGAATATGAGCGAGCCCTATACAAATCTTATGTTATTAATTTGATTATTATTATTTATAAATATTAAAATAGTATTAGGTTAGTTGGCCGCAATATATAAACTGTGCTTTGCTGTAAATGTTATAAATTGTAAGTGTTAAAGCCCCATTCCCGGAAAAATTTCACTAAAAACTGACTTTTTTTAGAAAATATTCATTTGCATTACTCCAAATATTATAAATCATGGAAAAATATTGGCATGAATATTAGTTTTACGCAAAAGAATAAAAAAAATGAGAAATACAGACTATTTCTCATAAAATATTACATTTTCTGGACGAATTCATCGTTACTAGGCAAATTTAGAGGTTGTAGATCGCATCCACTGGAATACTCTCGCTTTTATGTATACTTTTATACAGTCAATAAAGTGCGCCCTCTCTAATGAGATTAGTTTTTGTACTTTGTATCTCACAATGCGGTCGTTGGATTAAGGCTGAGATATGTTTGTTTAAGTGTCAAAATCTCAGTCAGAATCAGTTTTTTTTTAACAAATTTGAAATAATTCCTATGAGTGTTTTGCGTAAAACTAAAATTCATGCCAATATTTTTCCATGATTTATAAAAATTGGAGTAATGCAAATGCATATTTTCTAAAAAAAGTCAGTTTTTAGTGAAATTTTAGAGAAAACGTTATATTTACATACCAGGCGGAGGAAGGGCTAGAGAACATAGTCATAGTCAAAGCAAGCACATCATTAACTATATGTTCTCATTTAATAAGACTTACATATGTCGAATACCAATGCATGGATGGATGAATGTTTATAATGAATAGTCGTCTTCTAGTAGTATAGGGAGGCCTATTAAATATTATTTTTCTTATAAACTCCCAGGCTTTTTCTTTTATCAACATTCAAAATACTATCGTGATTTAAAGTAAACTATCTAGAAACCCACAAAATATAAAGCATATTTTCCAATAATGTTATTCTTATAAAGTCTTGCCTTTATATTTCGTTTAAAAACGGATATAATCATAATTTGACTTTATGCCAGGCTGCTTTATGCACCCTTTTCCAAATACAGGTCTTAAATTACTGTTTTTATACGCTGCCATCACTCGGCGAAACTCATGCATCCACAACAGACACTAGGGGTGTTCCGCATACAGCGGATCGGGCGTCACGCTGACTCGCGTGCATCTTCTGTTATATACTCTTTGCTTGTATGAAATAAAACTCTGGCGTGGTGGTAATAAAACTAGTGTGGTCTTTCCGCTCGCTCTCCGCCAATCAAAAGTTTCAAATGAAAGTTGATATAGGCTTAGGCTTACTTGTACAGCCGTCTTCTTATTCACACTTCTTCACATACTTGCAAGGACGTCCGAACGTCATGTCGAAACTACATAACACAATGTAACATAATATAATGAGTAAACGACATAACATTTTCTAGTAATATTAACATCTCTCATAGTTAACAGTTCAATCGCAATAATACTAAAAAGGTAGAAGAAATAAAATAGTACTATAGAATTGTCATACACATCAACTATCAAATAAAAGTAAAAATAAATGCTTCATCCTAGGATGCAACTCTTAACTGTCATCAACAAGCATAATGAACTTCACATTACAGCCAAAGAACCAAGATACTAGAAATACAAACTAGAGCACTCACGTAGCAAAAATGTATGGAACGCCGTTAGTATCTTCGGTTATGTGCAAACACTCTATTATGTGCAATCGCC